CAAAGATCATTTATTATGTAAAACTAAAGATGCTCTGTTGAAATATGTGCTCAACTTTGGCAAAATGGCAAAGGTATTTAATTCTACGACTAATCGATAAGAATCATGTAAGTATTTAAATTAATTAATTTATTGATATCTTTAGGATTTCCGTATTAATACATCCCTTTCAGATTTGGTGGTCAAGACTGTTTCAGGGAACATTGCTAGTGTCAAATCAATGGATTTTTCACTTAAATCAATCTCAATATGCTTTTACTAGCAGTGGAAAGTAAGTGGTTTCATGGCTAAATTGCAACTAATATTTTAGAAGTGTAATAATCACAAGTTTTATTGAGAAGAACAATACTGTATTTGCTATTTTGGATAATTATGTGGATGGGAAATTTACTCACACTTTCACAGAGCCAATTACTAACCTCAAAGACCTCACATTTTCATTTGTTGATTCATTTAGTCTTGGTCATTTTTCCAACCATTCCATTCTGCTAAGTTGACTCTTAATAAAAGTTTAGGTTATGATTGTAAAAAATTCAAGTCCTCAATTTATTGCAAATCAACCCCTCACTTTTTCAAAAAGCCAGGTCTGGATTTGATAAAAACCACTGTTCAGATAGTGGTACCTGATTTTACCCCTCGATTTTTTGCAAACTACCACTTATTTCCGTCATTAGGGTTGTTGTGATGAAGTTTTTCTTGTGTTGAAAGGCTTGCATTGATTGTTTTCTTCTTGAAATAAATTTAGAATACAACACATTCAACTATTTACATAGCAATAAAAGAGTTTAATTTAAAGTTCGGAATAGAACTTGTAGAGCAATTCTCTAACTTGGAAATAGGTTGGACTCAGAGAACCAAAAACTTGAATTTCTCCAGACTTTTTATCCTTTTGCAACATGACTTCATCATTGCAAACAAGAACACCTCCTTGTTGGAACTCAGCTGACAAGCCACTTTCTTTCAATAATTTGAAGAATTGATTCAACTTTAAATCACCAATGAGCATTGTTGGATGGCCCTTTGGTTTTGGATTTGGGTGAATGCAAGGAATATCGCTGCCTTCTTCAACTCTATAGATACCTTCAATATAAGCCATATCATAATTAGTAC